TTTTTTTGGAGAGACAAATAATCACATAGAACTTGCTTTTATCATGAGGGTGCTTATTCATCATAAAAAGTTCCCTAAATAAAGGGATAGAAGAAATTAAACCTAACTTTCTACAATGAATAATAAATCCTATTATGTACCAAAAAATTTGGAGTAAACTAAGTGATAGTTAAATTATAAGACAAAAAATGTTCTATTATAAACAAAATGTAAAGAAAACCTAAGACCGGCCATTATGGACTCCCAATACACCCAAATTTTGTCAAAGTCTAAAGGCGTGGCAATCTGGTCATTGAAGGTCGATATTATTATACTGTACTATTTAAAGAGAAAGTTGAATTTGACTTTCATAGCAAAAACGTGATGGACCAAGTACAAATTAAGATAGTCTTCAGGATTGGCTTTGCCTTTTAAGCTCCTCATCACTTCTTTTGGGGTTACGCCTAAGGAGCAAGGGGTGTAAAATGGGTGAGATTTTCATCACGATCATTGTTAGTGACCTCTGCCTCCTTTTCACCTTTTTTCTCTTCTTCTGCCTAGTCGAACCCCTTTACGTATTCAAAACTCTAAACCTGCTTGGCATTAAAAGCTTCATTACCTAATTGCTTGGCTTATAAGGAGGGAGCAAGCCCTTGAGTTGGGACTTCCACAACATTAAAAGAAAAGGATAATGAATAAGAGCCAAAAGACTCATCAAACTCTAAAGATGAGTTAGAGCTAGACTTTAAGCTCGAATTGTTAGGAAAAAAAAGAAAAGTGAGAAAGATAATAAAGGTAAGGATAGTATAGGAGGGGAACAAAAGAAAAGGAAGAAAGGTCAAATAAAAAAGCAAAACTAACCATGGTTAATGAGACTAGAAGGCTATGAAGGTCCAAATCAATTATAGCCTAAAACTCGTCCATCCCATGACAAATATTTTCTCTTTTACTCAAGCATTGTCCTTTATCTATTTTTGGCCTTCAACAAACATTAGATTTAACCAGTAGGTAGCTCAATGGTAGTCCCTTCCTACAATGATAGAGGGGACCTGATTATCTTAACAGAAAGCCTTGTGGCTGAGTTGACCTCCTCTTACTTCTACCCTAAAGTTATCAGACATGCTAGAATCAGAAAACATAATGAAAAAAAAATATACCAAAGAGTTTGAAAAGAAAAGGTCAAATGAAATAAGGTTATAAGTTTTAGAGGTCAGTTAAATCTGGTCAGCTTGAGAGTTGAAAAACTAGGTAGTAAAGATCTGGGCCCTTAGAAGGCCTTTTATATGGCCAAAGTCCTAAATCAGAGAAACATCCTAGATTGAACCACGTCACCATAACGGTTACTGATAATGACCTTTTGCATTTTTTGCCTTAATTTATTTAATTGCAAAAATTTCTCTCTTTAATAAATATAAATTAAGATGAATTTGCACAAGAGGCATATTAGTCATTTCACTGCAAAACTCACTATGCAAAATCTACTATACTACATTAGCCGTACACTTACAACACATCGAACCTCTCTAACCTACCATAAAGAATAATTTGCGAATGTCATGTCAACCTTTAAGGTCATGAGATAATGAACAATTGCAAATATTACAAGCGTGATGTCAATCATATCAACGCATGTCAACAATATCACTGCAGACCTTAATAGTACTACTACCTTGTGTACATCAGTACTCATCACTCACTAACTCGACAAAACGAGGTCAAGACAATTATCGAATAAAATTTTCAAAACCCATGCTCAATTAAAAGCTCAATCCTTCTAAAGACATATTGACCTATCTCATGGTCATCAGTCTGACACCTCAAACTGCTCAATAGGGGAACAGAATATTATGGCTATTTTTAAGTCCAAAAGGCAAAATAGACTTTTCCCTTCTTATTATAAGTTAGCGACAATCAGAGATACTTTGATCATTTTAACCGAGCTGACGTATCAAATCGATATGAATCCGTGGGTCTATGTAAGCTTAATCACCTCTAGCAATTTTTACACTAGACCCCTAAAATGTTGACTTATCACGCCTTGAGTGAACAATCAAAAGCTAACTCAGCTCAGACCTACTAGGTCAACTCTAGTCTCTTAAGGCTAATGTTAGGCAACGCAAGATTTTTCATTTCACAAGTATAAATAGCGCAATTCAAGTACCTTTTATTGATCTTATTTTCATACACTTTCATACTGTCTCTTTTTTTTTTCTTTTAAAGTCGATTTTTAATTTGAACATCGAAACATAAATACCGGGATTACTTTAAGCCTTTGTTGTTAATTGCTCACTATCTCACTCTTATATTTTTAGGATTTTACTTTTCCAAAACAACTTGGTATAATAAATTCCCATTTGTAAGTAATAATTTTTACATAATTTATTATTACAATTGAATCGTTATAGTATTATAATAAAATATTAAAATAAAATGCTTTCTATTTTATTACGACCATATATATAAATATATATGTGATATAGCAAATCAATCAATCAACAAAATCTTTTCAAACTTTTTGAATGATAACAAAAGGCATGGTGGCCTGAAGATCTAAAGGGCGTTTTGACAGTGAATTGTGAAAGATTTTCATTTTTGTCTTGTCATTTAGGATTCAGTTTTAAAATAATATGATAAAAAATATTTTTATTATGTCGCTAAAAAAAGTTTAAATCTTTCAATCTAATAATTAGATTCGAATTTTGTTACCTCAAATATAAAAATAAATAAATAAAAATAAAATTTATAAACTTCTTGACTAATTTAAGCATAGGTGAAAGTAAAATATTGTGCAAAATGGCATCATCTCAGGTTCTTGTGGTTTGGTTGATTAATGATTAAATCAGATTTTATATGATCATCTCTCCTTTGCTGTACCTTTCTCAGTCAACCAAACCTCATCTACTGGAAGCTAAGAAACCTCAATAATGCCCATCATCGATCATCTATTTAATACTAATTCTAAAACTTTCATCAAGTCATAGTCATGGCCACCCCTTAAGTTTAGTTGAAATAATTGAGGAGGAAAGAGTTAGAAATGGTCCTGGCAAAAGACCCAGTCCTCCGACACAGGAGCAGTGTTTTTTTCAAATACGTAACCATTTTCCTTACAATTTATGGATCTATTAACGAGAAAGAAGGACTAAACTATAGTCTCCCATTTCCCCTTTTGAGCGTGTACTTTTCCTATTCTTTGAATTTTAAGCTTTCGATTTTCGTTGTCAACAGGTCTTTTAATAGATAAATCGTCGCTAAAATTTAGGATATATCTTGATCCCTTTTAAAAATTTTAGATATTTAACTTTGCTGTCAACAATTATTTTAATAAAAACAATCTGTATTTGAAATCTATAGTATTCTTTGAACACTTAATTTTAAAATTAATAATCATTTCTCACCTAAACTTTAAAAAAAAAAGTCTTAGACCTCCAATTATTCTCCTCTCCAATTCTCTATATATTAATTAAATATGGCTAACGTTTCTGTCTTGCCGACTTTAGGGTTAGTCCTTTTCACTTATATCACTGGCGGTATTACCTCCAAAAACATCTTCGTGAAAATTTTTTATTTTAATTTTTTCTAATTTTTTTATGGTTTTTGCAATAAACCCAACTAGGAAACATTTTTAGTGTTGTCATGCATCATTTATATTCCGGCTGATGGAAGCTTTTCCAAAAACCAAAATTATAACAATTCTTTAGCCTTTGGTAGCGGACTCCAGGCATAGCCTGATCAAGCCATCAAAATCTGCTCATCACCTTTTCAACAGTAATGGCTATTACGTATTATTTAAGAATTTTATCAGATATTGATCTCAATAAGTATGATATCAATCGCGGTTTATTGTTTTTTTTTTTTTTTTGTAATAATTAGAAGGCTAGCAGACATGGATTTGCTGTCTTTCTCTTCAATTATAGAGGTCCTCTTGGCACCATAGAAAATGATCCGACAATTATAATTACAGATGCAAACACACCAATCTCCAATGATTGATGCATGGTGGAGTAAGGTAAAATTCACCTGCATCACATGTCTGGATGTTCCTATCTAACTCCTACGTAATAAAAATAACATGAAGATCTTTTTCTCAATAATATAATAGATTAGGTGAAATTTTAAATTTAAAAAATAATTAATAAAATTCTAAAAGAGTAAAAAAAAGAGTACATTAAACCAACTGACATAAAAATCCCAACCTTGTTCACACCAAGTATAAGTTTTTATACCCAAAAGTAACGCATGATTTAATTTTCTTTGTCATGATTTATCAAAAGCATGCACTACTTGTTCAATAAAGATAAAGATAAAAACAAAAAAGATAGTACACCATGTACGTCTTATGATTATGCAAGAAAGGACAGATATTTTTGGCTATGGAGGCTTTCAACCCTAATAAAAATAATAAACCACTTGCAAGAAAAAAAATTTTATAAGATTTGGGTATCATTGAATCAAAGTTTTCAGTATATGAATGAATGATGGAATCTCTTATAATTGATGAAATGCTCGGATCAGAACTCTCTGGATTGAATCCGGGTGGAACCAAAAACTGGCATCTTCATAGACTATATAAAAAAATTGAGAAAATTCACCTGTTTTTTAGGCAAAGCATTTGTTCATATCCAATCATTTGTGCCAAACTGATTATAAAAATCCAAAGAACAGTTCACAACTCAGCAAAGAAAGTAAAACATTGTAATAGTAACAAATTTTATTATTTTTTTAGGACTGAAAAAAGTTACCCCATTACGTAGAATTTTTGCTGAAAATTCTGTGCAATTCTGGATTTTGTTGTAATAATAAACGAATGGATGAATTTGGACCGTGGAAAACAGCGACAAAACAGGAAATTTAAAAGATTAAGGAAACTCCTATTCGGACAGCTAACTCGGTTTTTACTTCTTGTTTTCTTAAAAATATTGCTTTTTTGCTCTGGGTTACTTCTTGTTACTTTCTCCCACACTTTTGAATAAAAAAAAAAAAAGGAAAAAATGGTTTTTAAAATGAAAAAGGGGCCAACCATTTTTGCCTATAAAAACCCAACTCTGCCTCTCTTCATGTTGCCCCTTCGCTCTCTGTTATAGATTAGAAAACATTATTACAATCTCTTACCCTCTGTTTCTTGTTCTTTAAAGGCTCTTCCTTTTATTAGCTTACTGCTTACCTAGTTTTTGAAGCCGGTATGGTATTTTTTTCATTGCAGCCATACTTAAATTGTCTCTCATTTTCAAATCTTTGTCGTGCTTTTGCAAAGCTTTCTGCTTTCTGGGTTTTGTTCATGAAAGGCTTTTCTTTTTGGGGTTCTCTAAAGAAACATATAAAAATGTCACTTTTTTCTGTCATTGCTTTGATGCTTTCCTACCATGAGGAAATGAAAAGGGCACCATGATATAATGCATGTTTGTTTAACCTAAAAAAAGCTAATTTTCTTTGATGGGAAGTTAGGTTTTTTGGTTGCCATCAGAAAATTTGTAGTTATCACCACCTTTTAGTGCCATACATCAAAATAGTGGCTTTTTTTTTTATTAAATTATCATCACTTTTCAATTCCAACGCTTTAAAGTGTATCATTGAGTTGTTTTTAATACTTGAAAGTGTTGTTAATAAATCACATTAGCTTTGGTTTAATCACTTTTAGTCTTTAATCATAATTTTATGCCCTTTCTTATCATTACAAGGAACTTTCAAGCTTCATGAAATTTAATATAAAGTCTAAAAGAATACTTGCAGACACTTGATTTCAATTTGTAGTTGTGGTTGTGGTTTATCCACTCATGAACTCATTAACTAAAGCTTATGCAATTACTTGGGATTGGCTTAATGTTGTCTACTTATCAGGATTTCTTCTTATTTGATGTTGGTAATCTGAGTCAATTGTGTGTCATTAGTTTGATACAAGCAATGGAAATTTGTAGTTGGAGATTTAAAAATCTATATTAATGTTAGTTTGGGTGGCTTTAAGCCATCTTGGACTTTGATGTTAACTTATTTTCATTGATTGTTTTAGGACCTCTGCTCAAGTTCCTTGCTGGTTATCTTACCATCAAGAGAGAAATGGAATACGAGGACCTATATAGACTAGCTCAGAGGCCTAAATATGATTGCCTTCTGTTTGGTGAGCTAATTTACTTGAAAATAAAAGGTTAATATACGAACTAATGGCTGAGAAGGATCTAACAACCGTTTGCTTGAATTTGCAGATCTCGATGATACCCTTTATCCCCTTAGTTCTGGTCTTGCCGGAGAATGTGGAAAGAATATTAAGGGTGAGGATTAGCATTGTGATACTCGGATGCTCCGATTTTTGCTGTCAAGATTCCGGGTGATCTAATTTTTAAATGAATGCCATTTTTCTTTTCAGAGTACATGGTTGAAAAGCTGGGAATAGCAAAGGACAAAATTGTTGAATTGTCCAACCTGTTGTATAGGAATTATGGGACAACAATGGCTGGCCTTAGGGTATTACTTTCATTTACTCTTTTTTTTTTCCAACACCCTTTTCATTAGATATAAGTAAAACAAGAATCATGCTGGTAAATAATATATATTTAATGTGGTTTCTTTTTCTCTTTCTTTTTTGCAGGCAGTTGGTTATGACTTTGACTATGATGAATACCATAGGTGTGGGAATCCTTCTTTTCTTTTTCTTCTTTTTTTTGCCTTTTCTGTCTCCCTTTTTTGATTGACCACTTAATTTTCCTATGTAATAGTTATGTCCATGGAAGACTCCCTTACGAGAACTTGAAACCGGATCCTCAATTGAGGAGTCTGTTGCAGACCTTGCCTCTTCGAAAAATTGTAAGTAGTTACTACCCAATGCATAGACAAGTATTGACCATACTTCTATAGAATTGTCAACTAACAAAACTTGATGTCTCTTGTTGAATTAGATCTTCACAAATGCAGACAAAGTCCATGCAGCCAAAGCTCTTAGTAAACTTGGATTAGAAGACTGTTTTGAAGGGATTATCTGTTTTGAGACTCTCAATCCTACCCATAAGAATACGGTTTCTGATGATGAAGATGACATTGAGTTTTTGGGATCAGCTGCTGCTACAACTGATGCTCCTAGCAGCCCTAAAATTTTTGACATAATTGGGCATTTTGCTCAGACCAATCCAGTTGCAACATTGCCCAAGACACCCATTGTCTGCAAGCCACAAGAATCTGCCATAGAGCGTGCTCTCAAGATTGCCAAAATCAATCCTCAGAGAACAGTAAGATGCTTCATAAATTATCTGCCATGTATTTTACACTTTAATGCTGTTACAGTCTACTAATGTTTTTCATCATTGAATTTTGCTGTTTCAGTTGTTCTTTGATGATAGTGTCCGCAACATCGAGGCTGGAAAACGTGTTGGTCTGCACACTGTGCTGGTAAGTCCTTGAATCTGGTGCCTTAATTAACATAAATATTTGTTTAAAATGAAGATGAATAGCTAATTTGTTGTCCTTCTGCCATTAAAATTTTATGCAGGTTGGCACTTCCCAGAGACCAAAAGGTGCAGATTATGCATTAGAAAGTATTCACAATATCAAGCAGGCATTACCAGAGCTGTGGGAAACCGACATGAAATCTCAAGTCCGTTACCCTGGCCAGGTTGCGGTTGAGACATCTGTGACAGCTTAGATCCTAAGTTATTTCTTTCTTACTATTATGAGTAGTAAGAAAAGCCATCATGTCTAGTGGGATCATATTGTCCCCATTCCTCGCTATTGTTCTGATGATGTAGATGTCTTATTCTGATCTTCATTATATAAAATATAAATTTATAAAAACAAAGCAAAAATTCTACTTTTTTTTCGGTTTAAAAGAATGGAATTATGTTAATCATCCTTGAGTTTCAGATTGCTTAATTAGTGTTGCCTTAATCGATCCAATGACCATACTAATTGCGGTATGCATATAATATATGACACTAGATTTAATTAAATCATTTCTCTCATATAGTGGAGATATTGTATATAATATATTTTAGATCAAGAGGGGCAGATTTGATGCATGAAAAATACAAGGAACAGAACTTTGTTATGATTAATGTATATTATTTCAGACAACAGGTGTAGCAGAATGTAGTTTAAGCTTATCAAGAGGGATAAGCACAAAGATTTGTTAAGTTTTACGGTAGCGAGTGATTGAGGAAGCTGGCTTAAGCCTTGGAAGTCCCTACCATACATATCAGGCTGGTCCATCGATTGCGTGAAGAGTTGCAAACAAAAAGAATTAGGTTTGCATCAATTATGGAGCCGCTTTTTAATTTGGTTGGGATGAATAATAGACTTTGGAATTCCAAGTTTTTAGTTTCTCCAACTCTGGGAAAAAACGCCTTCACATCACATTGCCTTTTCTTTTTCGTGTGTTGGATTGCCCTATGGAATTTGATTAGTGGGAGACTATTCGGCAGTATCCGATTGGATAAAGTTAGCATTGAACTTGGGTTAGATCCATCGACAGATTTAAATCAGAGCTACCCCATTTTTAGCAAAACAGTAGGTAATGGATGAGACAAGCCATAAGATCACGGTTGGAACAGAAAGTCTAAATTAATAAAAGCTTCGGACTAAACAAGTTCTATCATTAGTTTTTTTTTTTTTTTTCCCAATTCAGCATAAAGTCAATAAATCAAAAACCTCATTAACACCTAAAGAAAATAATTTCTGAATCATCTATTCAATCAAATTGAGAAGCATGCAAGAAAGGTATATAGATTACAGAAACATGGTTCCCTTGGCGGTAGAGGTGGCAAACAAGCAGTTGCCAACAATACCTTACAAATTCAAAGTAATGTTAGGATTTTCATTATTTTGGGTTCGAATTTTTGAAGTTTAGGTCATTTTAAATTTGGGTAGGACTCAAATTTAATTTTTGAGAAATTCTATGTACACCTTAAGTTTTACTCTTAATATCTCAACTTTTTTATTAAAATTTTTTAAGTGAAATTCCTTAATTATCTTTTTTCACAAATTTTAAAATATTCATATCCTATTTATTAATAGAGCTTTTTGAAAATTCATTTTAGAGAGGAGATAATGAAATTTTTAAAAAATTTACAAAAAAATTATATTAGAAATTTTTATAAATTAATGTATTAAAAATTATTAAAAAATTATAAATTTTAAAATTAATAAAAAAATTGATTTTACAATTTTGACTTTAAAGAAATAATAAAATTTTATGAAACTTTAATTAACATTTTGTCTCTTGATATTACAAGAGATGATAAAGAAACTATTAGATTCCATAATTTTGTCAAAATCTAATGTACTAAATGGAGAAACTCATTGTGAAAAATAGATAGAGAAATCATTTCAAAAAATTTAGTTTAGTTAGAGCTATTATAAAATTTTAATAATTAATACCAAAAAAAATATTTATTAAAATAGAAATGATGAATTTTAAATTTATAATAAAAATTATATTTACTATTTTATCCTTAATTTAATTAGGATCTTATAAAATTTTATTTTTTCTCTAAAGTCAAAATAGTAAAATTAACCTTCTTTTTATTAATTTTAAAATTTATAATTTTTAAATAATAATTTTTTCATTACACTAATTAATAAAAAATTTTAATAAAATTCTTTTTTTTCATAATTTTCCTTAAAATTTCATTCTCTCTTTTGAAAATCTATTTCTAAAAAGTTATATAATTTTTTAAAAATTTATTTTCGATAATTATAAAATTTATCATATATAAATATCCAAAAATTTATGAATAAAAATTCTTAGATAATTTCACTTTTAAAAAAATTTTTAAAAATCTTTTGAGTTCGTATTCATATTCCAACTTTTCCCACAAGTTTTTTGAGTTCGGATTCTTTTTATCAATTGTACGGAAAGTAAGTAGACCCAAGGCGGACTAGAAATCTTTATCTCAGGACTTTGTCAGATCTCAGCCCAACTTACCTCAATTATGGGCCTCAACTGCTTCACCAAACACAATAAATTCTCATCATGGCCTAATCCACCCAGTCCACTGTAGAGCTGCGAGTGCATAAAGAGCGTGGGCTTCAGATACGTAGCTTAATCCGCGATAAGGCTAGCCTGGAAACAGAAACAGGACAAGAAAATCAAAATAATATAAAAAAAAAAAACTCTTACCAATCAACAACCTCTTTAACGGCTAAGACAACAACGGCAAAACCCCAATTAAAACCCTGAAAAAAAAAAAAAAAAGCAAAATTTATTCGCCGTCCTGGTTGTTGGATTTTGCTTGCCTGACCGGCAGTAGGATGAAACTCAGTCAAACCAGCTCTTCTTGATCCGTGTCTACGCTTACACGTGTCCCCTTGGTCTTCGCTAGCAGCATGGTTCCAGCTCCGTCATCAAAGTCTCTAACTCACTGTCATAAATGTAATTGCGTGGCATCATCATTACCTTTAACAAGAAAACTTCCAGGTTGTTCTGCTCTCTCTTTTCATGGTTTTAGCTCTTTTCATCTTCATTTTCTTCTTTGTCAAGAAACAACAAGGGTTATAGCAGAACAGCAGTGGTATTAGCTTCCATGGCAGATTTGAGCACTGTGCTTGTCACTGGAGCCAGTGGAAGAACAGGTTTTCTTTTGTTTTCTTCTCCGTCTTTCTCATTCTCTGGTTGTTTTATTTGTTAAAAAGATTTCTTTTTTTTTTTTTGTTGACATTGAGTTTTGTTTTATCTTACTAAAGAAGATGACTTTTCGTTGGAGATAAAATGATGTAATGACTGTCTGTTTTAGGACTTTTATGAGATTTTAAGAGGAGTTTGTTACTGGGTGAATTGGGTTTTTGACTACCTGGGGTTTTGGGATTTAGAGGAGTTTTACTTTTATTAGTACGCCAAGACAATTGGTTGCTTATGGTGTGTGTGATAACTTAGGAGTTTTGTCACGGATGTATGACATTTTGTGGTTTTGAAGTTATGAGCATCACTATTTATATTGGAATCCTGTGGCTTCTTGCAAATACAAAGAAAATGGTTACTCTCAGGAACTTAATTGGAGGCAAATGGAAATGGTGAAGGTTCCCCTGAAGAGGGTTATTTCACAAAATGTAGCCCTTGATAATTGGTTTTTTAATTTTTTGCAAAGGAAAAATTTTTCATTTAGGTTGCATTTAAAAGGGTTATTAGTGTGGTTTAGATAGGCTGTAATGCTTTATGGAATTAACCATAAGATGACCCTTGCAATGCTGCATAGGCTTCAAATGGAAACAAAATGTTCTGAATGCGATGCTTAGATGAGTTCCATATACTTGCTCCGCTCACTTTCTTCCACCTACAAAATTCAAATGCTTACAATCTTGTGGTCGCCATGGTGATTTGCCTTCTGTATATACTTTCTACGCCCTTTAATTGAAGATGGGCTGTTAATGTCCACCTATTGACAACAATTTTTTGGAGGACTTTCGCAGGTCAGATAGTTTATAAGAAATTGAAAGAGAGGTCAAACCAGTTTGTTGCTAGAGGATTGGTTAGAACTCCAGAAAGCAAGGAGAAAATTGGTGGAGCAGATGATGTTTTTGTTGGAGATATAAGGGATGCCGGCAGCCTAGTTCCTGCTATGCTAGGAATTGATGCTCTCATAATTCTTACTAGTGCTGTTCCAAGAATGAAACCCGGATTTGATCCAACCAAAGGGGGAAGGCCTGAGTTCTATTTTGATGATGGAGCATACCCTGAGCAAGTAACTATATGCATCTTCTAACTCTGGACTGTTACTATTGTTTTCTTCATTCTTCACTAGACTGATGTAGGGCTATCCATCATTCTATCTTGTTTTTTAGGTTGACTGGATTGGTCAGAAAAATCAAATAGATGTTGGTAAGTTCTTTATCTTATTTGGTCCTAAAGTTCAGTCCAAAATTCTGAATGTCTTGTTTTCATTTTAGGAAACCATATACTGAATCAAAATTGCAATGTGCAGCTAAGGAGGCTGGTGTGAAGCAAATTGTGTTGGTTGGGTCCATGGGTGGAACAAACCTTAATAATTCCATTAACAGCTTGGGCAATGGCAACATGTTGGTTAGCATCCTTTTCAATACTAATAAACTTCTCCATCTTTTGGCGGTAGCCTTTTGCTCTCCAGTTTGAGAGACATTTTTGTTTCCTGAAGAGTTTTTTATCAGTACTATTCAATTTTGGTTTCTTCTTTCTTTCACAGGTCTGGAAGAGAAAGGCTGAGCAGTATTTGGCTGACTCTGGTATTCCACACACAATTATCAGGTAGACAAACACTGGTCGTTTTTTAGCTTTTGCTTTCCTTGTTATTTCCCCTCTCTACATACTACTTAAATTTTTATCATCCCCATTCTTCTAGGGAGATGCCATTGGCCCCAAGAGCACGGCAACATTATTGTCTGTTTAATTCTTTTATAACTTTACTACTGACATTGACCCTTTTCTGGCCAAGTTAGGGCTGGAGGGCTGCAAGATAAAGATGGTGGCATCAGAGAACTACTTGTTGGGAAGGACGATGAGCTTCGACAGACTGAAACAAGAACAATTGCCAGGCCTGATGTAGCAGAAGTCTGCATGCAGGTATTGACTTTAACATATTTGTATTCCCAATTTACATGATTTTCCTTCTCAAAGTTGAATTTCCATTTTCATGGATCTTATGTTTTTCTTTTCAAACAGGCTCTGAAGTTCGAGGAGGCCAAATTTAAGGCATTTGATCTAGCCTCGAAACCTGAGGGAGTCGGCACCCCAACAAAGGATTTCAAGGCTCTCTTTTCCCAGATCACTACTCGTTTCTAATTCTCGAGGGCCATGAATTTGTCTATGACTATAATTATTCTCCTAAGGATGTTTGAATTTGATTTCTTCTGTCTTCAACTTTAAGGCCATCCCATGGACACAAACAAGCAACTATCAGCTGTGTCGACTCAGGAATCCTTGCAAACCAAAGCTGAACGATTAAGATGGTGTTGCATTGATATTATTGTATGGACATCATTTAGCTTTCCTATCATTCTGTTTGTCTCACATTGTCATGGAACTCAACATTTGAATTGAATGTTGCATCTTGCCCTCATGTTAAATTGCTAAACTTGTACTAGAATTTATTAGACCTCAGAATTTGTGTTTTCTTGTGTGAATGTTTTGTGTCAAACACACATAAAATATAAAAATTATTATATCACAATTTAAATCAATTCGTTAAATATAAAATATATTTTTATTTTTATTAAATTTATATATGTTTTTATCAGTTTTAAATAGTGTTGCTTTCGGATTTTTTTATGATTTTCGTGTGTTTTTAAAATTGTTTGGTCACCAGTTATGTTTAATCTTCAAATTTAAAATTAAAAAAAAAAAAACATATTTATAATTTATGAAATAATTGTCTTGGATATTCAACAAGGGAAACATGTACAGCTCCTTTACCGCAATTTGCAAGTACAAGTGTCGTTCGAACGGGAAAAAGAAAAACTAAAAAGAAAAATATCAGCTAAGCTCGCTCAAAGCAGCAACTGAAACAGCCATGGCGGTTATTAACTCCTTTAACTACCATAAACCTTTCCTTCCTTTATTAACTCAACCCAGAAACCCTAATTTCAATTCCTTCAAATTTGATCCCAAAATCCCAAATGAAGCTTCCAGATTTCGTTTTCCAACCCGCCGTACCGTTCCCGTTAATGGCTCGCTCCAAAACTCTGACCAAAACACTCCCCAAGGTCCCCCTTTTGTTCTCTATCTCAAAACCAAGTTGATTAACCACTTGAAATTTTCAATTTTTAGTTAACATAATGGGTTTTATTTGTTTGATTCAGGTGATGAAGTTGAGAATTTAGGAGTTAAAGCTGCGTTATCCATGCTCAAATTCTACAAAAGTAAGTCTTTTTCTTTCTATTAACAATGAAAAAAATTACATATATAATATATATACAAAAAAAAAAAAGAAGAATTGAATTGTTGTTATTGATTTTAGTTGAAGTAATGAATTAAAACAGGGGAAATCTCGCCTCTGTTACCAAAAAGTTGCCGTTTTGTTCCCACGTGTAGTGAGTACTCAATGGAAGCTTATAAGAAATATGGGGTTGTAAAGGGCACAGTTTTGACAGCTTGGCGTCTTTGCCGTTGCAATCCTCTTGGTATTTCAACTCTCTCTCTCTCTCTCTCTCTCTTTTTAATAAGTAGATTTATTGCACTAATACTTGGTTAAAATTGTGAAATTTCTTGTATTTTAGGCGGGTCTGGATTTGATCCTCCAAGGTGGTTTGATGAGGAAAAGCCAACAGAAGAATGAGAGATTCTCTCTTGGTTTGTTAAGGTATTAATGAAATAGTTGTCAGATTATCTGAAATGTCAAATGGAATTGATTTTTGTCCTTCTCTTTGCCATAAGATAGTAAACAGTGAATCTCTTACGACTTTAGACTTTAGGTTTTTATGCATATTCCTTCAACATGGTTTCATAAATTGTACCCTTTTCCCACGCTCACTGTTATTTGGTCTTATTTTGTTCTAAAAAATTCCATCAACTTAACAATGATGTTTCAAAAAGAACACAAATCCTTAATGTTACGCAAAAGCAGCATCAAATTTTAAAAGTTTGTATGGATTTTTGCAAGGAAATGGTAAGAGGAGGGTGTGAGATAATATGTTGACTGTTTAGCAAATCCTGATAATTGAATTTTGCAGAAGAAGTTATGTAGCTGTAATGCTTGAAATAAAGGTTGAACATATGCAAATTGAATGTATGAAAGTGGTATTCAAGTTTAGTATAACTGTATTTCTGCAGACTTGAAATACTGGGATTAGTGTACGGTTGCATTCTCACTGCTTATTTCTATACCATTGGCTTGCCTGGTTTAGTGATCTTTTCAAAATAACTTGACATGAATAATCAGTTTTCATCCTTCAATGATAACTTGACCCATATTATTGTAGGAAGGAATGATATCTGGTAGTGAATCCTAACAGTCACAGATTTTTCAATTCGCCATTGGAATTGGTGAAATATTAATTGACATTAAGATCTGTCCATTGTATTCAAATCTCTGTGAACATTGAGCCAGAATGTTAGAACTTATCATGGTTTGAAGGCATCAACCAAAACACTTTAAAATCGTGGTAAAAGGAGGCTATCAGGTGTCAATTACTCCAACTATTTTTTGTATCACGGTTGGAATGTATAAATTTGCCTATCTGGTTTCCTTCTTATTTTCATGACAGGTAATATCAGTGAAGGTGTTTCATTGGAATGGTGGAACAAATGAAGTTGTATCCTGTGCTCCATGACCATAAATTCTTTGCGAATAGGTGATCTAGTTTCTGATTTCAGTCTGTTAGTAGAAATCAATTGTACCTCCTCTTGCTGAGTAGAATATTTCAAACAATATTCAGGCAGTTGACTTTATTTATATGTATGAATTTACTCTTGCTTTGGCATTTGCAAACCTTAATTGCTGCACATAGGAGTGGATCTTGGTAGAGTTTGGCCTGAAAAAGGGTTCACAGTCTTTTATTTGGAAGTTGTTCTACCATTCTTGGAGATCATTTTTGGGTACTCTTCAATGTGACCTCTGCTTTTTTCTTGTTCATCTTGACTCCTAGCAGCATATATTTACTCAAGATTTCTTTATGTGTTTTAATCTTCTACTGAATCTATTACTCAAGATCTTTCCTCTTTACTTGGATTCCAATGAAAAAAAAAGGAGGGTAGATAGACTAGGGCTTCATTTGGATGGACGGTGAAATTAAAAACAATAATAAAATTTACTGTAATTGCAATTAAAAAAATTTATTGTAGCTGTTATTGAAAAAAAAATTTAATAAAAAATTTATACTGACACGATCTCACTGGAATTGATGTTTGAATTCAATTGAAGATACGATAAACTTAATCACATCGTGCCTTCGATGCTAGGTCTTCATAAAGCTATATTCTTAAAACCTCAATATTAAAAATGGTGCATAAAATTTGAATTGCTTCTTATTCCTTTCCCAACATATTCTTGGAAGTATAAAAGAAAAATGACACGTTAGTTTAGCTTACAAATGGGTACTCTTTATTTGATTTCTTTAGCTCACTTGAAAGAAAATTACACCAGCCATATCTGTTCTTTCAGAAAGAAGACTATAGTATTTAGTTATGCAAATTAAAATCCAATGTTGTGCTGGACTCAATGTTTTTGTCGCCACTGAATCTTCCATTATAACATAAAGTCATCACAATTTGAACCAATAATTTAGCAAAGATTAAAATAACAACACATGAAAATATCAGACTAACTGATCTGGACAGATAAATTGGGTCCCCACAGAATATGTTCCTCAACTATGGTTCCATATGATAGGTTTCCATCATTGGCCGAATCAAATTTGGAAGTCTACCTCAAATCAAATCCAAACAATGTCCTTCACTTAAGATTGGACCACCACTATCAGCTCTGGAACTCTGCGGAAGAACCCAGATTCTACTTTCTTGGAAACGGCATTGATAATTGATACTGAGTGACCAACAAAAAAATATGTAATTTTTTTCTGAAATGGTTTTGGAACATGGATTGCTTTCACTACAAAAGAGAATCCCTCATTAGCTGCTTGCCAATTTTCAATACAAGTGAAAGTAAAAATAATAAGGTAATACAAAGACCTGAAGGCAGAGCCAGAATATTCCCACCATTTTTCTATGTTTGAGCAGCAATGTTCCAACTAAGTTACAAAGTGCTAGAAACTTTACTCCTTCAATCCTTTTAGGTAACGGAAGGTCCCCACAATGTTGATATTGGAAAGATAATAAATTGAGAAAAAAGAACATTATGTGATACAAAACAATAGAATTACAAGCATATAGATTTGCAGCAGATGTTGATTGAAAGCTATCGTTAAGTGATGCTCATAAATTCTATTTTCTGAATCCTAACACATTATTTTGTGAGGTTTTTGGCCTGGCATCAACCAATTTGTATTGTCAGATTTTAGAACAATTTTTTTTATACAATTTGCTTGGAATTCTTGACAAGGCTGGAGAGAGAATGGAATTGACACTATAACTTGGTTCCCTTGATAAACATGTATTTTACAATTCTTTGACTTGTCAAGGTGCCTACGGGACCATGAGAGGTCAGCTGAGATAAAACATAACAGTTGACTTTACACTTTCCAATTCTTCAAGTTGTTGATGTTCTACTTACTTTCAGTCTTCTAGAGGTAAACCAGATAATCGGCTTCTCTTAGTATAACCTGTAGTCATTTAAATATGCAATCAGTTGTCACATGTATCTGTTATCTGCACATCTTCTCGTAATGCAATAAAGTAACAGCGTAGAAAGAATGAAGAAAATATGGAAACAGCATTACCTTAGTTCCCTAATTTTTCCTGTCAGATGACCTAAGAGAGAGCAAACAAAATACAAGCTCCCTACGCAGGCTTCCAAGCAGAAAGGGCATAAATTATTCTTCCCTTCCATCCTTGCAACAGCCACCGGCTATCTTCATCAATTACAAAATCCTTGTGGTAGAATGACCTCACTCTATCAGTTGCCTCCTTGACTATCACGCGTTCAAATGGCTGTTGCACAAAGCCGGCCCTCAGATTACGGGCATGCCACTGCTTGAATGTCTCTGGCCGCTCCACTCTCTCCCAGCTCTCACAAGCTATAGCATTCAAGGCCTCCCTGCCAAGAATCTCTTTCTCAATCAGCATCCTCTCCCAATCCTCACGAGGCACAATAGTTTCAAGCATATCAAACATTGAAGAGAAATGAAACAAAGCCTCTCGGAACCGTGTAACAAAGAATGGAGCATTGTACGCCCCATTCATAATTCCATGGATAAAAATATTTGGATTAATCTTCCGTATCAGATTGAGAACAATATTTCTAGGACTATCTACTGCCACGGTTTCATCGAGCAAGTTCTTAGCACGATACAGACAGTTAACAACAACAAACTCTTCCTCATCAATGCCAAGTTCCTCAACTTGAATGTTATCCCATTTCTTTGCTATGGCATTGTACTGAAATGGCACCTTGAACTCTTCAGCATAAGCTGCTAAACGCCTCCCTGTTTCCTCAACTCGCTCAGCTGGCCTGAAACCAGGTTGTGGAAAATCTATTCCAGTAATCCTAAGTTTTGGGGGCCCTTCAGGTCTCAAAGAAAGCCGCTCAATAAGGGTGGGCCATTGAAAACCATAAAGAATACCAAAATCTATGACATGAAGCTTCATTGACTTTCTAGATGCAACATTAATTGTCTTGTTTGAGATGAAATGAGAAATCTTTCTAAAAGGGCATGCAGCAACATACAGAAGGTAAGCTTTCAAGATATCAGAAGCAGAAGTTCTCTTACTGACAAGGCCTTTATAGATTTGGCTACCTGTACCAGCCAAGCGTGCCTCAAGACCATCTGCAAAGCAATGAGCTAATCTTTGATTCCCGTCTCCAAATGGAGATGAATGTTGTCTGATTTGCTTTAGCAATTCATTTGCAGTTCTTCTGTCATCAGCTGCAACAGCTTGTGCACAATTAATCAGGAGTGTTCTCAAATCCACCACCTCCTTTTTCCCATTTTGCCTCTTACCACGGCCTTTACCACCGTTAGGTCCTTTTGACGGTCCATTCTGCTGCACCTTTTTACCAGTTCCATTGCGCAAGGACTCACGAAGAGCTGTAAAATGAGTTGGAGGCTTCCCCGAAGTACAGAGCAACACCATATCAAACATCTCTGATCGCACAGTGGATTCTGAAGAAATTGCAGCCTGCTTGCTGCTCCTCTCTTCTTCAGTTTCCACATTGTCTCTGTGAGAAATCTTCCTTCCCTTTGAACCAGTAGGTGAGAACTCTCCCTCATCATTTTTCTCTTCCTTCACCAACACACCACTAGTCCATGCTTTACACTCCTGCGATTCCACCCCATAGACCTCCAAATTACCAAAAAGGTCCTCGCTTCTTGGAATAAATTTACTGGCCTCCTCAACGCCTTTTCTGAATTGCCAAATAGATTGGATCTCACCACTCAAATCAGGGACCAGAAGAGTACTATTTGGAGACTCCAGCAGCCCATCTATGCTAGTGATTGAAGAGCTATATGATGATTGAGATGTGCTAGAAACATTAAAACTTTGTGTCTGAGTGGTACTAAAATCACCTAGATTTTGCATCCATCCATTGTCAACGAAGTAGTTGATACCATTATCGCTACTACTGATACGACTATTATAATGTCCAATGAAACTATCATCAGGGTTCTCCCCACTTTTATAAACAAAAGTAGAGTTCTGTTCAGGGGAAGGAGGGTACTTCTTACCAAGGACATCATAAAATGATTTCTCAGCAGCTTGAAGATCCAAAGACTCTTGAAGCATACATGACTTGTCCTCCATATCTTCTTCCATGAGAATATGGTTTATGTATCTCAAAACTGAATCAGAAAAATCACAGTCTTCGGACGTATCTTCCTCATGGCTCAAACTTGAAATGGGTGCTCTATTACTTGGTGCTGGATCAGAATGAAATTCCCTAAACTTGTGATCTATGTAGGTATTCTGAAATCTGGAACCGGCAACAAAGTTCTGATTCGGAAAAACTAGTACAGGTTGATTTTGAAAGGCAGACACGGTTTGATTCCTCAGTTGGAAATCAGAAAACCCTCTTAACCTAGGATCCATGTCCATCTAAATTCTAGCAAATAACCCCAACAAAATTTCCAACTTGAAAACACAAATGCAAACTTCACTTAAGTTATTTTCAGAAACAGTGAATTTATCTTTTCTATAAATCAAGCTTCTTATTTTCAATGAAACAAATTCTTCGCATCCCAAAAGCTATTGAAGTACACAAAGTAACTCCGAAATAAAATCAAAGCTTAGAACTTTCAAAGAACCACCAACAAAATCCACATTTTGCAGATGTAATCACAGAAGAAAAACCAAAGACATCCAGCAAATTCACCTATAAGCCTAAGTTCTAACCACCCAGCCTGGAGACAATCCAATGAGCAAGAAAATGAGAAAAGAATGGTGAAGTGGTAACAAAGACTTAACCAATACTAAAGGGTCAACAAGGAAAAGCAAGGAAATGAAAAGCCCTTCCCAAGAACTAGTCAACTTTTGCTGTAAAAAGAAGAGCAAAAAACGCACCTCCGAGAAAACCCAGTTCAGAAAGAGAGAGAAGAAGGGAAACACAAAGCAGACAAAACCAAAGAGAGCAAAGAAAAAAGGACAAGTTGGAGGCACGGTAGTGTTTGAGAGTATTTCATTTCATTTCCGTAGGTAGTTATAATATATTTTTCTCCTAGGAGAGTGAAGCAACAACAGCCGTTGATACAGGCAAACTTGTCTCCCAACATTAAACTAGGACAGAATGTAGTCTTGCTCTTAAACCAATGGGTTGATACCACGTGTCAAGGGGAGAACTAAGTTTTGGCTTATTGGCTGTTGAGCTGATTCCCGCTTTTAGCCTGAATCTCACTGCAGTGAACGAAAAGCTCTCGCTTCAGCTTTTCTGGGATGGTTGAACTTACGACCTTGTTTAAGGCAGAGGCAGAACTGTGTACGTGGACCGACTGTGGCATATCAGAAAGCAGAAAGTGACGTTAAAGTGGAGGCGAAATTTCAGTTCGGACAAAGAAAGAGAGAGAGGGACATGCTTGGTTGGTGACTTGGGTGTGGCACATTTGGAGTTAGGACATGAATGTGCGCGTGCTTCGTAGGTTTACTGTCTTTGCTTACTTGGATCCCACATGTCTTCATGAATTACCGAACCAGTCGTGAATTTTGCTTCACTATCATTTGAAGAATTCCTTGTTTCCTTCATTAGGGTAGAGGACTTCTTCTGAGAAAATCTTAATGCCCTTGAATTAGAATAATCATTTTCAAAATGTGTAAAATTCATCGCTTATCAACAAAAAAAAAAAAAAAAGTTATGACATGCTTCCACCTCCACCCAAGCTTCAGAATTTTCAAGCAACAGTTTTTTGGTTTTTATATTATTACCCAAAAAGAAATATAATCTAAATTATGTAGGGACAAATGGGTTAACCTTCGATTGCATGACAAGTATATATCAAGCACAGGAATCAGCATTTTAAACAGAGAGGTACCGTAACCTTTTCCTTTTCTGTTAGTGGGCTGCAGATCCATCTTTCTTTTGTTTCTTTTAAACTTTTAAAAACTTTTTTGGCTGTGGAGGATATACTTTAATTCTTTAGAATGGAGAATCAAATATATTTGATAAAGTAAAGGAACCAGCTGAAAAACTTATACCATGTTCACTGCTTATTTAAAACCAAACTGCAAGAGACATTGTAAAAAAAACAATCAAATCTCCATAACAAATTGTTTAAAAAAAACATCATGCAGAGACAGAAGATCACAAATCATGGATCCTAACATTATGTACAAGGATGGGTTGTCTTCATTGCCAATGTGAGCTTCCCCAACCAAGCTATAAATCTAAGATGCTAATGGTTTGTATCTAAAGAAATAAATAGAATTATAAGAAAAATTAATCATTAACGTAAGATGATTCAATTCTCTCGAAGTAAAAAAATTTATTTTTAATCCATAAGATTAAGTTTATATGTTATATTATATCTTTAAAAATTATATTAATAATTTAAATTATATAAATTTAAAAAAAAATTTTAACTAATAAATAAATTATCCGATCTTAATCTTTGTATACAAATAACAAATAATATGACATTATTTAATCTAATACTAATCATAATATCATTTTATCATATCCTATTATAGTCTTATACACCAAGCACACCCTAAATCTATTGTCATTAGTCTACTTTTCTCAAGATTCTTTTGTTCTAAGAAAGAAAAAGCTTTTATTTCTACTTTGTCTTTATCACAAAACACCAGTTTAAAAGTTTAAGCATTTGGGTAGGGGCAGCCTCCAGAAATAGATTCACTCCCCTTTCATCCCAATTGCACTTTATTCACATCATCCTGTAACATCTATCCTGCAGGGCATCAAAACTCTAGTCTCATTTCCACTACATTAAGTAACAGAAAATTTCATGAAATCTTTCATGAAGATTTCTTGTTGGTATTTCATGTTAAAACAAAAATGATGAAACAATGTCAGAAAATAACTTAAAACTACATCATAAGCATCTAAGCATATGTTGTATATCCAACAAATCATCTACAAGGAGCCGAACTAAGGGCAGTTTGGTTGCAGATCACATGGAAAGTGAGTGTAGACACCCAATTGGGTTCAGGCTCAGATCAATTGGGCCTGACCCAAATGGGTAAGCCCAATTCAATTTCTACTTTGTATTTTTTTTTTTTGTATTTTATGTATTTTATTATTATTTATTATTATATGTATATTTTTACTTTTTTTTTCTGTTAATATTTATATGTATTTTTATATAGTTATATATTTATTATTTATTATAATTTATTTATTATTATTTTTTTGTAATATATTTTTGGGTTTATCTTATTTTATTTTTTATTATTTTTTTAAATTATCTGTTAATTTTTATCTGATTTTTTTACCGATTATCTGATTATTATCATTATTTTTTTTTCTTTTCTTTTTTGATGGCTGTGATTAAAAGTTGAAGAATCCCATTGTGAATGGGAATTCAATCAGAAGAGTCCAGATTGGATTCAAAAATTGAATTCCCGTCCAAAGAAGAATTGGGATTGATCAGAAACTCCTGATCAATCCCTATATAAAGGACCCTTGGAATAGATGCAAGGACACAGAAAACAGTAAGCAAAAGCTACTGATTGAGAGAATAGGGACGTATAGAGAGCTAAAAAAAGGTTTAGGAGTTTTTTGGGAGTGAGAAGAAATTTTTTGAGAATTTTTGGTGATTTTTTTTCTGGGAATTTCTGGAAAAATTCCAGATTCCGGTGAATTTTCCGACGAAGTTTAAATTTTCCGGCATAAATTCCGACCAACCTTGAAGTTTTCGGTGACCTGCCCAGTTTCTGACAAAGAATCCCAGAAACCGATGATCTTCCGATGAACTTCCGGTGAACTTCCGACGAAAAAACCCAGATTCCGGTGACAAAATCCAAAATCCGGTGAATCTTCAATCGGAGTTCTTCGGCCTTTTAGAGAGAAGGGAGAGGAAAAAAAAAAAAGAGAGAGAGAAGAGAGGAGCGTTCTGCCAAAAAACAGAAGGAAGTGCCTTTTATACCCTCTCAAAACGACGTCGTTTTGGCCTTAAGTAACCCAGAGGATCCACGCGTTTTATCGAGATCCGACCCGAGCGTCGACCCGCTTCCTGACCCGCACGTGCCTTCCCCCCTCCGAGCCAAGCCGAGCCGAGCCGAGCTTCCCAAGCCGCCCCCTTGAGCCGTTTCTCTTCCTTGAGTCGAGCCGAGCCGCGATCCGAGCCGCTCCAGGTTTTTTTTTTCATTTATTTGTTTATTTGTTTTTTTTTATTTTTTAGATTAGGTTTATTTAATATTCTTTTTATCTTTATTTTATTTTTATTTTTGTTTTACTTTTCTTTATTTTTTTATTTTTTTATTTTTTTTATTCGATTTTCTTTAAATAAAAATCAAAATTTCCAAAAAATATATTTTTAGGGAAAAGTTGAAAGTATCAATTTTTCTTGAAAATCAAAATTTTAAAAAAATATTTTTAGGGAAAAGTTGAAAGTATCAATTTTTCTTAAAAATAAATTTCCAAAAAATATTTTTGGGAAAAAGTTGAAAGTATTAATTTTCCTTAAAAAATAAATTTTAAAAAAAGGGTTTTTGAAAAAAAGTTGAAAGTATCAATTTTCCTTAAAAATAAATTTTCAAAAAATATTTTTGGGGAAAAGTTGAAAGTATCAATTTTCCCTACACAAGAACAATCATTCTTTCCTTCCTTTCTATTTTTTTAACTAATCCGATAACGGAGCCTCTGTAAGTGAAACAGTAGTTTTTCTTGCATACTCTTGAGGTGAGGGAATTTTCTCAATTTTTTGCTAAAAGTATTAGAGTCAATTGAGAATAATTTTCAACAATTAATTACTTGGTAAAATTTTAAGGCTTTTGGATAACACAAATTTAAACTGGTACCATCTTTTGATGGGCGTTGTGAGGGTGCTATAACCTTCCTCACACGTAATCGAACTCCCGAACCCTGTTCTGGTTAGTAGACCTAAACCTATTCTTTTAGGGACCCTTAAACTTAGGTGTTCCCTGAAAGGACAAATTCTTTAGGTGACCAATCGCACCTAGATAAAAAAAGATTGGTGACGACTCCCTAAAAGTCAATGTCTAGCGATAGATCCGCGGATCTAGACGTTATGACAGCTTGGCGACTCCACTGGGGACCTTGAGAGTCAGGCCAGCAAATAATTTGTGTTATCCAAAAGCCAAATGAAATTAAACCTTGCTGTATATATGTGTTGTTATTCATTCATGTTTTATTTACTTTGTTAATTATGTCATTCATGTGCATGTGTATAACATGAGCTCTACACCCGAGCTCCGTCCCTCTAGAAAGGAGTAAATTACCTATTGCTTTCGTGAGGTCTAATGCCTCCGCAGTGGCTAGCGAAATACTCCCACTCAAATTGAACCTTTTTCGCTTGTAGCCTGTAATGCGTGAGGATTAGGGTGCCTTACTAGTCTGTGATGGACAGGGATGTAAGGAGCAATTTGAGGACCTTTAGACTCTGACCTTAAAACCGCATATAGTGAACCTTAAGAGTGCCTAAACCTAGGATAGAGCTCTTTCTACCCAATGATAGATATACCCTGAAATTAAGACACAAAAATGGTGGTTATCTAATCATTTTGACTGTTTAACTTTGTGTATCATTTTCATTATCATATGTAACATTATGCATTAACATCACTTTCATTTCATCCATGGAACTAATTATGTTGTTTGTTTGATTGTATACATTTGCATTGTTTTCATAATCATATTTTAACACAATCATTTGCATCCATTTCATACTAGATTTCATTCAGGAAAATGTGCATTTCATTCGTGCATCAAAGCATCATACATGAAGCATAGCATAACATTTCTAATATGGTACTCAAGGTCTCAGGATAGCTCCATCTAGTGAAAACCCTGCCCATCGATTTAACACAAGATCCAGAGCAAGGCAAATGGAGCAAGAAAATTCCCTTAGATTTGAAAAGATAGAAAAAGCACAGGAGAAGATTGAAAGCGAACTAAGCAAGATTCTGGAGGCTCTTAATAACATGAATAAAAGAAAAGGAGTTGAAGGAAATACAAGCCAACAAGAAGTGGCTGACCCTTTGTACCCTCCAAGTTTTGGCCCACCTCAAGCCCAGTCTGCCCAAGAGGTCCCGCCACAACACTTCGCATATCCAACATATCCTGGAATGCCATCAACTTTCAACCCAAGGCAGTATAACAACTATATAAATCCTATCTTCACTGAAAAGGCAGCAGAACCAATTCTAGATCTAGATGATTTAAAAGAGAAGGAAAAGAAAAAGATGAGAGTGAAAGCTGAAGAAAGTTCCAAGATTAGCATGCTAGAGCAAAGGCTAAGGGCTGTGGAAGGATTTAGCTTTTATGGGTCAGTTGATGCTGCTGGGCTTTGCCTAGTTCTCGATGTGGTTATCCCCCATAAGTTCAAAGTACCAAAATTTAAAAAATATGACAGTACAAAGTGCCCCAAAACCCACATCACCATGTATTGCAGGAAGATGGCAGCTCATGCACATGATGAAAAACTCTTGATGCATGTTTTTCAGGACAGTCT